TGTTTCCCAATGCGTAACATAGAAATGTGTTGGGTGGCCGAAAGCGCAACATCCCGACGATTTGTCACATAGCATAATATGTTACGCTTTGGGAGTGAGGAAGTGTTGTGGATGATGCCATGTGTCCATCGAATGCTGATTGGGGAACATTTTTGGCTAGAATAGAGAACTTAAGCTTAGCTCTTTGCATTATAACATCATTCTTCCCCGTGGCTGAAGGACCAACAACAACACAAGCTAAAGTCTGGATGATCGGGCATTTGTGACACTGTCCCCTGGTGTTAATAAACAGTTACAACATGTAGACAATGACTGCTGTCCATGGGCTCTGTGAAAGACCACCAAAGAGCCACGTTTCCCTCCTTCCTCTGGGGTTGGTTCATTTTTCAGCCCTGGAGGTTGAGGGATTATTTGCACCTGGAATGTTTCATGTGAAACTTTAGCTTGTACATGAGAAAGACATGGATGTTGGTTCTCTTGTAATGTTTCCAGTTCTCTTTATGTAATGATGTAAATGAGAGAAGAGGGTGAGGAGGCAGACCCATGGGGATGCACTCTGCTTGATGCACTTTTTGTTCAGCCCTCCGATTGGTTCTTTTCAACCACAGTTCTGATTGGACAGCCAGTGTTGTAGGGGAGGGAACTAGCAGCAGGCTTTAAAATAGAAGTGAAAAGGAATTGTAACCACTCAGAATAAGCCATGGACTCTATTGAGCTAGCACAGTGTTGCAGGATACCTGTTCCCAGTGAAGATCCAGATAAGATGGGTGAGTGTATCTGTCATGCACCGAGAGTCATAGTGGTGTTTAGTGTGATATTTGGGACAGAAATTACAGTAAAGACAGAAGTCAGTAGCAGCTCCTTCTTTGTGCTTTACTTTGAAGTTATTTAGTTAGAAATTCATTTTCAGCCTTGTTCTGAAATTTAGAGTTTTTAAGTCCAGAGATGTCAGATTGTTCCTTTATGTTAAGTTTAGAGTCTGATTATCACCAAGCTGCATTTAGAGAACTTTTCAGTGGAACTGCAGTGAGTGTGAGCTGCTGACCAGTTCAATATGAAGGATTTCTACTTAGTTAATCAACTAATAAAACTATTAACATTAATATTTTACAGATCTCCTAAGGAAAGTACATTTTTTCTTCAACAATGACCTTCTATATGTTACATTATATTAAATTGTAACCTTTATGTAGAATACACATAATATATATCATGAATGTAGAGCATAGTTAAGTTTTTCAGAGAAGGTCAAACATCTGATCCTTTCAACTGAAGAAGTCGAAATAAAATTAAAGTTAAAGTTAAAAGTTAAAGTTTTTTAATTACTTTTGTAAGTTAAAATGAAAAAATGTATCTGCTTTATGGTTTGGTTTTCTCTGTTTTAGGAAACTGCAGATTAATTTATTCAAATTTTACAGATAAAACAAAATGATCCTCAGATCAGCTGATGATAAAATGAGTTAGCTCTCCTCTGGTGATTTTTACACAAACACTCAGAGAAAGGAAACAATCCCAAGCTCTTTTAAATATTTTGACTTCATTCAGTAGGTTTTATAACGAGTCCTGATGTTGTGATTGGTTTTGTTTCTCTTGCTTTGGGAGAATAATCTGTCCGCACACGTGGCTGCATTTTGCCGCCATTTCACTTACGATTCTTTAAATGTCTTTAACTTCTGTGGTTAAACGTGACGCTGAATTTCGACTCGTTACTCGAGCGAAGCTTGTCTTAAAACTGAAAATTAGGACTGCAAACATTTCTAGGTAAGGAAACAGAATAAATACTTTTCTGTGATTTACACAGTTAAATGAATGAAAGTGACAGCTAGCAGTTAGCCAGCTTTGTTGTGGTAGATTAGTATCAGTAGGATTAGCTTTTTGCGTAGATAATGAAGCAGTTAAATCTGGAGATTATATTTCTGTAAATCTGTAAAAGTCACTTTTTAACTATTTGTTGGAACTTTTAATGCCTGTGAAATTAATATTTCTGTCTGTATGAAATACTTGGTGATCTAATCAGCATTTCCAGAGCTTTGAACAAACTAAACATCAACTTCTAGGGCTTTGAAAAGTCTCCCTGTTAAATCCAGAATTCCTTTCCGTTATGCTAAAGCTAAAGCATATAGTTAGGGCTGGACCAGGTGACCCTGAATCCTCCCTTAGTTATCCTGCGATAGGTGTAGGCTGCCGGGGGATTCCCATGATGCACTGGGTGTTTCTTCATCACTCACTCAGGATTGTTGGGGTTTTTAATCTCTTTTCTCTGTATTATTGTAGGGTCTTTACCTTACAATATAAAGTGCTTATTTGGTGCTATATAAATTATAAAAGTTGTAACACATATTATATAATAATATGAAAAATATATGATATAAATTGAATTTAATTGTTGAAATGAATGTTTATCAAGTGTGTTGGACATTCAGGTGTGGAGCTGGGTGAAACTGTCAACTGATCAGCACCTAGTGGTGTCTTGGATTAGGTGGCACAGGAGAATGGCAGAGCGGCCTGGTCCACCTAACCATAGAATGAGGGTGTGCTTAACAGTGTATTTTAAGTTTGCCTAACTTTCTTATCTCTAGAATAGAATAGAATAGAATAGAATAGAATAGAGTAGAGTAAACCTTTATCCCACCAATAAGAAATTTGTTTGTGACACAGCTCTCATAGCAAGGGGAATATAAAATATAGAAGGAAGACACAAAGTGCTCCTACATACATAAGTAACTGAGGTTTGTATATACAGATACACACAAACACACAGTAACAGGACGGAGAGAAGAAAACAGCAAAGTGCACACAAACACAACCCGAACAGGCAGGTCGACTGGCGAGGACCGTCTGGCCGTGACATCCTCAGCATGGGTGACATCCCATCTCTTTTTTTTTTGTTGTTGTGTTGTTTCATTTATTCAGGTAACACAAAAACAACAAAGGAACCAGCCAGAAAAACTGAAACAACCACAACAATTAAGACGCTTCTAAAATCAGGTGATGTTACTAATACAAAGTTGACCAGAAATATTTATTTATTGGTGCTTTGGGTACTTTGAACTGCTATGCGATGATGACAGTCACAACCTGTTTCCTGACCTGAAGGCGCAGGGAACAAACCCTATTGTCCACTGGGAGAAACCCCAACATAAACCTCAAAAGTCTGACAAAGGAGGACCCATCAACAGCAGCGCTGCAGTTTAACACTTCTTTATTGGCTTTCCAGCTGCCCTGCTCCTGTAGCACAGACACCACCCCCTCCTATGGTCCCTGCATGATCTTTAACAGGGGAGACATGATTAGATGATGGGGTCAGGTGTTTGAGTCAGCCTCCCCAACACCACACTCTGAACCCACTGCTGAACTCACCCCTCCCCTGCAGCTGAGCCACAATCCACATCCTGCCACATACCCGACAGCCCGAGAGGTATTAGATTACATGCATAATTACAAACAGCCTGCTCGCTCTAACACTACATCAAATAACCGTGATCTCATTTGGTTACCCATTGCTAGCTGGAAGGCCTCAAAGCCGAAGCTGGCTGCAAAAACAAATTCTTCCTGATTATTGAACTGTGTTTTGATTCTCTGCCCACATCCTTCAAGGTCACCTGCGTTGGCTGGAGGATTGTTGACTTTTGCTTAAAACTAGGTGAAAAGACACTCTCTCTTCAGCTGATACAGGATATACACACACACACACACACACACACCGAAGTGTGTGTCCGAAGCACGTCCTTTATGTTTTAAGTTGTGAAGATTCAGGTACTGTTTTTGTTTTGTTTGGGTTTTTTGTAAAAGTGATAGAATGATGCATACGACATTAACAATACACTTAACATTAAAAGAAAATCTTGTGACAATAAACGAACATTTTTCTCATGAACTTTCTGAAAATTCAAGACAGTGGCTAATTTTAGGAAAGTCACCAACTTTACATACATCTATTTATATAAAATTTGTCACTCATCTTGTGGGCTTCTGTGGGCCTCTGTCAAAGGCCTGGGAGCTTCAGGGTCCTGTGCAGTATCTGTGATATTCCTACAACTGTGCTCTTATGTACAGAGATCTTGGATGTTGTTCGTTGGGTCTGGTGGAGCCACTTGCCCAGATTGGGGGGTATTGCCCCAAGTGCTTTGATTGCCACTGGGACCACTGTTACCTTCACCCTCAACATCTTCTCAGGCTCCTTACTGAGCTCTTGGTACTTCTCAGGCTCCTCATGTTCTTTCTTTCTGATGTTGCTATTACTCGGTATAGCTACATCTGTCACTACAGCCATCTTTCTCTACTTGTCCACCGCTACGATGTCTGGCTGGTTAGCCATCACCAGTTTGTATCTCTGTATCTGGAAGTCCTAAAAGATCATTCTCAACACCCTAGGTGGTGGGAAGCCCTTGGGTCTCTGGTCTCTGGGCCCAGAGCTCAGTCTGCTCTGGCGTAGCTGGCTGCCAGTGGAGCCTGTGGGCTGCTGGGTGACCCCCTACCCTTCCAGTCCATTGGTAGGGTTTCTTGATATCAGCCACTTCCTCTATCTGCTGGTGGTACATTTCATGCAGGGGCCTGTCCTTCCAAAAGGGTTCATCTTCTTGCTCCTCTTTTTCTCAGGCATCTGTTGCCTGAAGTATTCACTGAGCACACTATCAGTAGTGGCTTCTTCCTGATGTACTTATGAAACTTTGTTGTCTCATCCTAGATGGTGGTTTTGACACTCACCAGTCCCCGGCCCCCTTCCTTCCACTTAGTGTACAGTCTCAGGCTGCTGGACTTGGGTTGAAACCCTCCATGCATGGTAAGGAACATTCTTGTTTTACTGTCAGTGGATTCTCACTCACTTGGACGAGTGACGAAACGTTTCTCCCATTGAAAACGTTACGTCCAGATGAACAGACTTACTTACCTGGACGATTGAGAAGGCATTGCTGCCATTGAGTTTCAATCCATTGAAAATATTTTTCTTGCAACTGATTGTGGACTCTTCACCATCATTTTCATTCTCTATGACCACACTACAGCTTTTGATACAACTTCCCACCGCGCCATTTTTATAATTTATCGCCTACGTCTCTGCAATATTTTTTAAAAAAATACAACATTCAGCTTCACTGTTATCACTGTTACCCAGATGACACCCAGCTCTATTTGTCTTCTAAAACAACTACTATACTCCCACCCACATTCACTTCTGTTTAAATAAAATTAAACTTTGGTTTACATACATTCTTAAACTTAATGGCAATACAAATGACTTAGTTCCTTTTAGCACCAAATTTATACCATCTAAATCTAACGTGATCTTTTAATAACTCAGGTGTCATATCTTCCCTTTAGCTTGAGAGTCTGAGTGTCATCCTTACCTTCATCGCGAACATAAACAATATAACCCAGTCTGCCTATCTTCATCGTTGCAATATTAATGCCCTTCATTCCTCACTCACTGAGCAGGGTCCACGCTCACAGGTGCCGCTAATCAGGTGCCTAATTGTCATCACCTGGGGTACCAGATGCTCAACACAAGAAATAGGAAAAAAACAAAACACAAATGTGGCACCATTTAAGGGGAAAAAACATGTTTTCCCAGAATAATCAAACCACAGTTTATTTCAGAATTTTTAAAATGTGTTATATTTCTGTGTTTGCTATATGTGTACATATTAGTGCTGTCAACATTAATCTCGTTAGAATGATGTTAACGCCATGCACAGGGCGATCCGAGATTTGCAGCGTTAATGCGGTTATGGCGTTAACGTCATTCTAACGAGATTAACGCTGACAGCACTAGTACATATTTATTATCAGAATGATCTTCAATAACCTACAGCGCATGTTAAAACATCTTAAGGCAATCAGGTCGGACAATGATGGAATTCAGTGGGCGTTTAATTTAACATGTTTAGATTTTAGAATTTTTACATCAAAGCAAATTCTTGAGTTTACAAAAAATATACTGCACTAGTGCACTTTAAAGTCTGATTAATGACTTCTGGATGAAACATTTGGGTGCATGTTGTGTCTAAGTGTTAAAAATGTATTTGTAAGGTTTGAGTAAGACCGGCTAATTCTCACTGACGTTCTTCCAACAGGTGAGCTGAGGATCGTCCTGTATGGACAGAGTGGACAGGGTAAAAGTACTCTAGGAGGCATCATCCTGGGCAACAGAGAAATATTCACTTCTGATAAGGACTCAAAGAAGTGCCGTAAGGAAAGAAAGACCATCACGGGTCGAGACGTGGTTGTTGTTGACACTCCAGGTCTGTTTAAAGTAGATGATGATGGAGAGGAAGTGGTGGAAGAGATCAAGCGGTCCATCAAACATGCTGAACCTGGTCCTCATGTCTTCCTGTTCGTGGAGAGGTTTAAAGAGATCTCACAAGAGAAATTAGACGCACTGAAGACTTTTCAGGACACGTTTGGTAAACAGGCAGTGGACTACACTATAGTGGTGTTCACCACTAAAAGGAAGGAAATCGACGCCGCTTTCATGCAGGAAACACTGAAATCCCTCAGAAGATTAACCGATCAGTTCCAGCAAAGATACTTTGTTTTTAACATTAGAGACGAACAACAAGGGTCTCAACTCGACGAGCTGCTGGGGATTATGAACAAGATGACGGGAGAAAAATGTCAACCTTTCTACACGTCTAAGATGCTCCAGGAGGCTGAGGAAGCTCTGAAAACACGAAAGGAAACAAAACCAAAGCCAGAAGAAGAGTGGCGCTCTTTTTATGACCGGTGTGGTTTGATTGGAATGGCTGTCGGCTGTGCAGCAGGGTATTTTATTTGTGGTGGCGAACTGACGCCTACAACAGGAGCTGGGGTTGGAGCTGTAGTTGGTATGATGCTGTTCGTGGGAATAGCGTTTTTAGGCGTACTTGCTAAAATTAAACTTCAGGCATGATGCAGATAGATTTCAGACGGCGTCAGTGATTTTGTTGCTTACGCTGATCTGACCAAATCTAAAATCTAGAAAATCATGAAGGGGAAATCATGGTGGTTGTAGGTTTAGTTATTTTAGTTAATGTTTTCATGATTTTTACGCTGCAATAGGTGTAGCCTGCTGCGTGCTTCCCATCACGCACTGACTGTTTCTTCCTTACTCACCATGTGTTTATACACCTCTGCATTGGTTCTTATTAATCTCTGGCTCTCTTTCACAGCATGTCCTTTATCCTGTCTTCCTTCCTTCTTCCCCAACCAATCACAGCAGATGGCCCCGCCCCTCCCTGAGCCTGGTTCTGCTGGAGGTTTCTTCCTGTTAAAAGGGAGTTTTTCCTTCCCACTGTCTCATTGAGGGTCATATGATTGTTGGGGTTTTCTCTGTATAATGTGAGGATCTTTTCTGTACAGTATAAAGAACCCTGAGACAACAGTTTTTGTCATTTGGTGTAAAATAAATAAAATTGAACTGAACTGAAAATCACAACAACAGCTGCCTCAAGGTGCTGGTGTTATTAAAAGTGATTTGTCACATACCAAATGGACCAATACCCAACAAGACCAACAAGTTACTGTATCTACAAATTCAGTAAAGAACTGTAATAGTGACCAACCACAAATGGAGAGCTATGTCCACAGAATGATCACAGTGGGTGTGGTTCAGCACCATCACGGCCAGCATCATTCACAAGCGAACCATGAGAAGTGGGCCAGTTTTGGGTTTAAGAAATAAGAGATTAAAGTGAAAGTTTTACAAACATGTTTAACGCCGACGTCTGTCAGTACCAAAGATTACATCATGTGGTTGGTTGAGGGCTGTGTGGCAGCTCCTAGAGTCAGTCCTCATTCACAAAGTGCTCTACAAACACGAACGTTACGGCTAACAGCTGGATTTTCCCGTTTGAGTGCAGCAAGCAAACAGCAAACAGCCACTTACTGCTAAAGAGACAGAGTGAAAGTGGACTGCACATTTAACATAAACTCATTGTTGCAGCACTAAAGTGATCCCATGAAAAGTAGTTTTAGTTTTAATGTCCTCATTTTCCTCTGAGTTAGCAATCTGTCACTAGTTAGCTAACATGAACTACTGTAAGTCTATTAGCCCCAACAAACCAGCCAACCGGGTGACGTCGCGTACTGACAGAAGATGGTGCTAAACATGGCTTTAAACTTTAGGTTTAAGCACTTATTTCTTAAACCCAGCTTAACACACAGAGTTACGTCTATGTCAGTTTCTGAGAGCAGGGCTCAGTGGTGTATATTAGCCTTTATATGGGTAGTGTTTCATGTCTCCTTTAAGGTTTGAGTTTTGTATGAGCCACATGTTAATAAAAAACTAGATGTTAGATTCAGGTGATGTTTCTAATATTTTGGCTTTACGATGTTTCCTCTTGTGAGTCTGAAACAACTGAAACAGGATAAAAACAGGTGAAGCCCAACTCTGGATCTGCTGCAGTGACCTGCTGGATGTTAAGTGAACTTTTATCTTCATTAACCTGTGACTGCTT